GTATATACGGAAATATGAATGATCGTCATTTAAGGAGATGTGGTGGCTTGTTGTTCGTTACTCTTATCACCTCAGGAAACAAACTGGATCTCTGCTTCTCATTAGTTTTATGCTGGTTGGCAATGCTTCCTTGAAAGTAGTTGCCTCTAAGGTCTTGTCATTCCATATCTGATTATTTTCATTTAAAATGAATATGTATCTCAATAGTATCCCAGTAATTGATCTGTTGGTCCGAACATGTCTGCATATACGTTTTTCATTTAGTTCTACATTTGATGTCAAAATGTTTGAGATTTACCAGGCTGTCATTTTTAACAGGATGAAATTACACAGTATGTTACAGTAAGTTTCTTTCATTATTTCAATATTCAATATTTTCTCAGTGTTCTGAGTATGATGCTGAAATATTTTGTGTGAAATCTCAATGCATGCACCATTGCCAGTAATAAAATGCCAGCAATGTAATACAAGTTACCTTTGCGTAAGCAATGCTAACTAACCTGAATTTCCTCGCAGCAGTGTAGCATGTGACACATTTTAAAGACATCCCACATATTTTATTAATGAGCAGCCTCCATAAAAAGATCAACATATAAGCCATCCTGTTTTAGTGTATACCAGGATACCAACATTTCCTAGTTACCACTGAACAAAAAGTACAGCGGAAGCCAGTGGAAAACACGGCCAACAGGGGGCGATGTAGAAAAAAGTCAGACAGTGTAGAAATAAATGACTGCCATCAGCTAAACTAAATGTTCCAAAACATAGTATGCTTTAAAGTCGAGACACACATCCCCACGAGAACTAAATGATCTAAAGGCAATCTGTGATGTGCATTATCCAATATTTATTGTTATGAATGTATATATATCAGGAATATGGCGTTCTGCTTTAATAGGCACAAAATACTTCAAAAATTTATTAAACAAGGCTAAATGTGAGTGTGAATGCATGCTGTGTTTGAATCACTCTGTTCCATGATTTGTTTGTGTAGGGTTTTGATATCTTCATATCATCATGACAACAAAAATCCAGTTGATCATCTAGCACAGGTCCTCACCCAGATAGGACAAAATCAATTCACCAATTTGAGATTGAAGAGAGCTGGATATTCTGATCTAAAATCCATGGTACCAGAGCCAGCCCAAGCTTTGATGGGGTCTTAAGCACAATTTCATTTGGGGTCCCTGCCCACGTTTAATCCCATCACTATCCACTGACCTCAGCACTGCCAGTATTATGTGTATATTGCCACGGACGCTCATTTGTGCATTATGCATCGAGCACGGCCATTATCATGGCTTATGAGTGTCCTGGAAAGAAAAACAAACAAAGAAAAAAAAACCACGAGACCATATATTTTTCATTATTTTTGGAATGTGCAATGAGTCACAAAGAATTTGACATGGGTCTTAATATTTTTTTACATAAGAATCCAAATGTAAAAACAGAGAATATTAATTAAATTAAATGGAAACCAACTGACTGGTAAGCAAGCAGTAGGCTACAGCCTGTAGTTTCCATAAAACATGACCGCACCAAGTTCACCACATCTTTAGAACTAAAGGCTTCTTTGATGCTTCTGTTTAAAGTAATTGTTAGTTAATGCTAATAATAAATAATATGTAATTATTCCTAGAAAAACATCTTTATCCTGTTTTTTTTTCTTTTCAGACCAGAGCGATAAATCCTTTTTGAGACATATTTATCAAAATACTCCACTGTCTTGTGTATGATTACTGTATTACTATATAAATATACATTTATCAAATGTCTGGCGTGACATTTCAGGTGCTCTTGGGGGCTCCCGCCAGCTGCTTAGTCGGCTTATGCCTCAGGCTGGCTTTACATGACACAATAAGATTTAGCTCAACTTTCAAAATAAAAGCTTCACTTCACTACTTCAGTTGCAGGTTAGCACTGTTTGCTCGCATTAAAAAGCAATGGCAACATAAGTCACAAAATATACTTAGCTGTTATTATGACCTACCAAAGAATACTAAGTGTGTGGGTTTATATGTACAGTGCACCTTTATGCTGAATGGTTAGTCAAAAGCTAAGTTAAACATTATTATTGTAGCTTTGTATTAGATTGATCTCTGCGTAATACTTTGTGATTCAGACAGTTAAACTCTGATTAAACAAAACGTGGTAACGTATTCAACTGCCCTTGTTTTCATATATAAAGGAAATAAAATGAGGATCAAGATGGCAAAGATGCTGAAGTTTCATAACCAGAGCGTCATGGCTGCAGACTTCTGCACGGTGTGATATGCTGGACTCCCATTGTGTGTTTGTACTGTGTGTACCCTGCATGGAGTCTCATCTTCCTTTCTCTCTTTATCTCTCAGCCATAGCCAGCTGGTACTAAGCAGAGGTATTCATCCATCCCTACTCCCTCCTTTTTTGTGCTGTCCCAGCTGCTCTCTCTACCTCTCTCTCTCTGCCCCCTCCTTTTGCACCCCTCCCTCCTCTTCCTCCCCCTCCTTCTCCTTCTCCTATCTAAGCTTCCTTTCCTCTGTCATTTCCCTGCTGTTCATGTGTCCCGGCGAGGCGTTGCGGACCAACCGTGTGTGTGTGCACATAGAGGATGGCTCAGTGCTCAGGTGCAGGCAGCAGACTTGGGGAACCAGTCAAGCAGGCAACAGGACCAGACTTTACACCCAGACAGAGCTTTTTGCAGGGCTGAGGGCTGGAGATTGAGCCCCCTTTTTGGACCTCCATCCCTGAAGCTCTCTTAATCTACCTGTAACTAAGCTTTCTTTTATACAGTATTCATTAACAAGAGGACCATTTCAACTGTGTGTGGATCCTAAATGTTTAAAGGAAATTCTTCTTTTTGTATTTGTTATAATTGGCACTCATTTACACTGTGAGCTCTGAGTGGAAGCAGCTGTCTTGTCAGCCGTGGATTTTGTAGAGGTGAAAGAGAGGAGCATGTCCTGTCTGTGCCATGCCCCAAACTGGACCTTAGTGGATAGCTGCTGAGGGAAATAAGGCACAAAAGAGAGAGCCAAATCTTTAAAACGAGGACAGGAAAGTCCTCAGACAATCTCCCTCTCACACACCTGTGAGGGCTCACTCTCTGACAAAAGAACAGCCGAGAAGAGGAGGAACAAAAAGATAATTAGGAGCCAAGAAGATTAAGGCTAAAGGGGAGACTTTGGGTCCAGACTCCCTTCCTTTATTCATCCCTCCTTTTTCAGTTCCCACCTGTGTGGATTAATTGGGCTGGAGAACCATGGCGCATGCCGCTTCGCAGCTGAAGAAAAAGGCGGACGAGAACCTCGCTGCAGAGGAAGAGAAGGAGAAGGAGAGGAAGAAGTCAAGGAAACGGTCTCGCGAACCAAAGAAAAAGGTAGAGAAAGACGAGGAGGGAAGGATGAGTTTAGAGGGATAAAATTGGTCTCAGTAAGAGGGAAAGTAAAGGAGGAATGAGAGCTGACACACAGGAGGAAAGAGAAACGTTTGAGACGTGGTGGTCTAGTGAAGGCTAGGTGCTTCTCTTTTGTCACGATGCAGCCTCCCATCGCACACATGCACACACATAATCATGCATGCACGTACGAGACACTCGGCGGGATAAGAGGGGTGGTCCCAGAGGGAATACTGTGGGGGGGTGAGTGGGGAAAAAAGACAGAAAGATGGATGTGCAGGGAGCATGGGCAGAGAAGAAAGGAGAAGATAACAGGAATCAGCTACAGAGAACAGACTGGGATTTAAGGCAGCTGTGTCAGCTGTTGTTATGTTTTAAGTGACTTAAAGTCACTGGTTTGGTGGCTTTGTTGTAAAGAAAACAATATTTTTGAAAATACATAAAACAGTTACCACACATAGGGACACACATACTTTAAATCTTCCTCTCTTTAAGGAACTTTTTCAGAAGAAAACATAATGTCCCGTTTTATGCCATCACACCACACATTCAACCTCCCGTTCGACTGTGACGTGAGAGGTGTGGGACTTCGGGGGAGAAACGTGTACCCCAGCCAAAAGCGTCAGCAGTCACACCCTGCGGTTAGGTGTGGGCTGTCTGTCTGTGTGCGTCTGTACATAAGTCATTGTGCAAGGACAAAGTTAAGACGAAATCACTGACACACAAAAGCACCTAGAAGATGATCAATAGGTCTGACTTGAAATCAATAAATATTCCTCACTGCATTGACAGCTTCACTTTGTAAACTGAAGTTGGACATCAGCGTCAGGTCCAGTGTTCGAATCCCCTTGACAACTTGCGCATACATGCGTATTTGTCCAAACGCATCTTTGTTTGTGCTTCAAACGCTTCCCGTTTGCTCTTGCGTGCACATGCTGACATTTGGGCTTTTGTGTTTGTACACATTGACCAGCCCGAGGCTATAATTAGTTCAGGGTTAGCCACCTGTCACAGAGAGTCAGTACCCCTGACCTCATTAACATCAAGGTCAAAATGGACATCACTTCCTTGGCCTACAGGAAGTCAGCTAGATGTGAGTTAGCTGTGCTCTCATGGTGATTTCATTAATTTATTCATTGGCAATTAAGCTTTTATGAGAAGACATGGTGTAGGAATTAAAAAATAATAACTTAAATATGAGAAGTCCATTCCTACATCTGCCACTAAATCATTTTCATAACAGATGTTTGCCCATATGTGCTTAAAATTCTTTACATAATTCCAAAGAGTAGTCTTTCAACTCAAAAAAATTGCGTAGACCAGACTAACTTTCATATGGCTATAGGAACCCTTCACTTCTCTTGTCCACTTTGAGCAAAATTGATCGGTTCATTGGAACAATTTTCTGTGCAGTGTCTTATGTTGGGTTTTGTGAGTTGAACAAATAGGACTTAAAATCTGTCTTTCTTTCAGTTTAAGTGGAGAAAATAGAATAGAATAGAATAGAATTCAACTTTATTGTCATTGCACATGCACAGGTACAGGGCAACGAAATGCAGTATCCTTGAAAATCCTTGAAATTAAGCAACAGATCAGATTGTGAATGCCACCTTAAATCAACTGTATTCTTTTTTGTTTTTATATCCACTCATCCTAATGGAAACGATAGGATGAGCGAATGCTGCAACTAATGGCTATTTTAATTATTTATATATTTTGCAGCTGCAAAATGGATTCAGAAACTCCAGGAACAAACAATATAAATCAAATGTGTGTTTTATACAGTAACTTAACTAAAAAATTAAATGTCAGTACGCTTTCCAAAAATGTCAAAGTTGTCACATAATCAGTTAAGCAAATAATACTTTCAACTCAAAAGTGAAACATTCAAACAGTCTGAAATGACACTAGTGCCATTTGGTCAGTTTTCATTATAGTTGGGCATGGGTGTCTCTCTGAAGTGTTGTACAATTTTCTTTCTTTCTGTGCAGTGTGTTGGCATCTGATAAGCCTTCAAACCCATTGATCTATTTCTCCAGCTGTTTTTCCTGGGTTATATATTTCTTGTGAAATTGTTCTTTTCTTGGAAACCTGACTAAACCTGTAAAACACTGATATCTTTTTTTCAACCCAGACCATGGTCTTTTTCTTAACCCAAGTAGTTTGGTACCTAAACACATTTCTTCTCACCACTTCTTATCTCCCCCAAGAGGACTTTACTTTGTCCATGAACACTTATGAATAGATAGGTTTTTCTATGTATACAGAAAGAGAAAAGTAGTGTCCCTGAGGAAATATCAACAACATGAATGTGACAAGAATGTTGTATAGATGTCTTTTTTCAAAGAAGTTTAAAACCATGGGAATGTATTTCTTTTATTTGCCAGGTTGAAGTCATTCTTTTGTGAAGCAGTAATGATCATCGGCTATGTAGAAGGGCAAATGCAGCAGTTAATGATGTGCCATAAAAACACTGCATGATAATGGGGATTCATCAGGAAGCTGAAAGAGCTGAATTTGAGTCTGTTTGGTCACAGGTTTATGGTTTTACTATAAGGCAACAAGTCATGTTGATGTAATATAATGTGTGTATTCTGACGTCAGCAGTTTCCCGGTGTTTGTGGCATAACCTTGTCATGGGGATATCAGCTATCACTGGCTCACTCAAGGTAAATCTATAACCCCGTCTGCCCAGGGCTAATTCTTGGCACCAGTGTGCAAAAAATATCTTCTCCCTCCTCGGCTCACATCGCCACAGTTATCTTTAACTCTCCTCACTTTACTCGAGCTCTCTCTTTTCTCGTCATCTCTCTCATACTGGATGCCTGAAATGGCTCTTCAATGTTGATTAAATAACACACTTTAGCTAATTATAAAGAGTATCAGTATCATTGTTGGCTGGATGTTAAATGGGTCACTGGAGTCACAACATAATCTACTACTAAGGATATTTAGCTGCTTCCCATTTGCAGTATAAA